CGATGTTTATGTGGTATCACATCAACATACCTTCTTGTCAAATTTTAAACGTTTTCTCTGTATGTTGTTAAAATGTGATCTTTCGTAAGAAACTTTATTGGTATAAAACAGCAAATTTAAAACGGAATAGACATTTAAGAATTTCGCCAAACAGGAGCATGACGTACATGCGGCGATCAGCGACCAGTGGTCTCTGGTCTGGCAATGAAATGTTTGCCATGAAGAAAAATGTAGCTGAAGATATCAAATTAAAGAAAATGATAACCTGTCTGTCTATGGATCAATCATACGAGAAACATGCAGCAGAACGTGATATCCGTGGAACGCGAGATTTTCTAAAGGATGTTCGGTCGTCGACTGGACATAGCGCAGAAGGTATGGCATCTGTTGAATCCGTTCCTTCAAGCAGTCACCTGCCAGTTATACAGTATGATGTTCCTGATAGACTTTTACAGCGGTCGGAAAGATCATTTTCACTTCGACCGAGAGGATCTGTTATTTACGAAATAAATCAAGTGATCTATGATGACGTCATCCCATCCATCATGCATGATACACCAGCACCATTACCCCAGGCGAAACGGCTTCGCCGACCCCGGGCAATGACTGAGTCTGGATTTCAAAGTCATACACCGCCATTATCCAGTGGAAGACGGACCAAGTCAGACGGAGCATCATCGAAGTTTCTTTCAGTGAATGACCTTCCAAGAGGAAATACAAAATTGTCTGTCTTTTCTGATGTCTCGGACAAGGACTGTGAAAACGAAAGCGTTGACGACGAACAAGAACGTTTACAAGAGTTCTTACGATTAAATACCAGGTACAATCCATGGAACATACAACAAAGCAATGGTGCTTTGTACGATGCGCTCGAACCACCACGCATCAGAGATTGTTACAGGCCAGTATGTAGGCTATCATGTAACACGTGCATGACGAGAAAACAAAACGCTCCTTGTTTTGTTATTCCTGGGATCACACATCCGTCTGGTTTTGTTCTGCCTCTCAAAAGCGCCAAAAAGGACAAGCAAACACAAAAGAAAAACAAACCGAAATTAATGAAGAGATCGTCAACAAACGTAAGTGAACAGAGCTTAGAAACGCGAAACGATGTTGGCGTAGTTCAAGAGGGGCTTTACACTGATAATGAGAATGAACGTGATGAAATAAACGACAAATTCCATCTCCGTGTTCAGCAAGAATTGAAGTTTCTGTTGAAGACAGACAAAAAGATAGACAAAGATCGTCTTAAAGTACTGTCAACACCTAAAGGAGGATTTAAGCGGGAATTAAGATTTTCAAAATCTTTAATAAAAAGGGAGGTGAAGAATATGACAATAAAGAATACAGCAGAAATGTTATCTACAACAGAGACAGAGAACCGCAGGAAGATAGACAGTCGGGTCAATATGTTTCTGGCTATGTTGAATTCACAGGAAAACCATATACCCAACACGATGGTCCATATCCCTCTCAGAGAGGACATCATGCATGTGGATATATCCCACATAGAGCGGGTAGATTTAGATGTATTCCAGCAACACAAAATCAATACCAGGAGAGTTTTTTCTGAGTAAATCATGGGTGATTTGAATTTTATTAGCGCTTACGGCGGTAATTGTCATGATCTAATGCTATTTGCTATCAGTGAATTCAAACATCTTCAAATTGTGCTTCCCTTAACTTGGAGGAAAGGTTGTACTAATTGAACTGAATATCAGTTACGTAATTTCCACGTTTTCAACTATATATGCAGCTTTTGATTTATGAAAACAACATATATAATTGTGCGGGAACAAACGTCTTAGTGTATGCATTTATGCATATACAAAGACATACGATGAACACTAACATGCAACAGGTCGATGAGTTCGTGACAGGATATAATTAGGGTATATTTATAGAAAAAAAAGGTTTAATATCAAAGGCAGTGGATTGTTGGCGACAAATGGTTAAGGTAGAGAGTTAGAATTTATGTGATAGGACTTAATGACATATTTTGTTTGTTATATTATAAACAGATTGTATGATGATTGTTAAGTGTTTAACTAGCAGAATACAGATTTATATCATAACCAGACATTATGATTGTTACGTTTTTAACTAGCAGAATACAGATTTATATCATAACCAGACAGTATGATTGTTACGTTTTTAACTAGCAGAATACAGGTTTATATCATAACCAGACAGTATGATTGTTACGTTTTTAACTAGCAGAATACAGGTTTATATCATAACCAGACAGTATGATTGTTACGTTTTTAACTAGCAGAATACAGATTTATATCATAACCAGACAGTATGATTGTTACGTGTTAACGGTATGATGACATATGAGATGTTTAACTTTTGACAGCAAAATACAAAGATTTTTTATAATAATATGGTGACATGTTTTGGGTTTAACAAGAAACTGCACAATACAGACTTATATCTAAATAAGAATAAGTGATGAAGTGTAACGTGTTTAACTCGCGATACCATTGTACAGATTGATATCAAAGGCAAGGCAATGTATATAGGGCCATTCAATCACGCACACTATATAAATTTACATAAAATATTGACGTAGTTTGTGTACTTATATTACAGATCGTGTTTGTATACTAACGGTCACATCTATCCTAATGAAGTTGTCACAGTTTCAAAGACAGCGGGACAAAGGTCATAGGTTATGAAAACATGTGTGGGCTGTGTTGCGAATTCATTTATATCAGGAGATTTAAATATGAATTTTAAGTCACGTTGCTATAATGGAGTATAGTGTAAAACAATATTATTTTAAGATATCGACGATCATTCCTAATCAATTAAATGGATACAGAGTCACGCTATAAAATTAAAATTGAACGATAAAGATAAATGATTTAATTTGTTATAACATTTATCTATCTGGCTATAAAACGCCCTGATCTGTATACACTAAAGTGGTGGATAAGTAAGTACAAAGTTTTGATGTAACAGTTTATTTCAGAACTTTTACGAAGACTAAAGTTTAACTATCTCCCTTATTTCAGCTAAAACATTAAACTCGATATAACTAATCGTAGACAAACGAAACATTTGCATGGACACCGCACAAAGAAAACACTATCTGCTTCGTTGACGATATCTGCCAATTATTAATGTGTTAATGAAAGCAATGTAATGTTCTCAAATTACAACCGTGTTTAAAATAATAAAACCACAAAGGGTATACTTGCATTTAAAATGGATTTATTTTCAGTTACAAATTTGCCGTCTCCTTATTGGCATATATTTTATTGTTATTTTTGTAAAGAATATTTTGTTTGAGCCTTTTTAAACATGTTCACTTTAATAAGATATAAAGAAGACGGCAATGTACTCACGCATTTCAATCATGTAACAACTCGCGCGATGACTTTCAGATTCCGCCAGTTTAACTTCAAACGCATTTAGAAAGTAATATAAAAAAGGACGTGACTCAATTCAATTGACCAACAAACCAGAAAATTTAATTGATTTCTTTTATTCAATCTTCAACTTTTCCTATTTTCGAATATAATGATTGTTTACTTTGGATATTTAAACTTCCACAATCAGTTACAGTACGAACAAATAGGAATGTCACAACTGGCTGTGTATATCATAATGACACATACTTAATCTATGGTCCTTTGGATAAGATGATCGACAAAGTATTTACTCAACTTTATATTCACAGTACAAACATCGTTATGCGTGTTACCCTATACATATGTTCAAACATAGGTTGAATAGATAACTAATGATATTGTGATATACAAAGTCGTTTCCCTTTCTGCTATATTTCCTTAGCTAAATTTAAAAGCAAATCTTCATTTTATATTGTACGGTTTTCCGTTTAATTTTCAAAATTTAGAATACGAATTTGGCAATATTTATGTCTAATTTAGATACATCAATTTTCAGAGCAAAATGAAAAACTGTAATACAAACGTCACTTTTTCAAGACAATTGTGACTCCCATTATCAAACGTCAAAAACTAAATTCACCTGTAACAGAATAGATAGATTACATAGATTGTGTTAAAAAAACACCTGTATGACCGTATTTAGAAGGACTGTGATTGACTTTGTGGTAATGATCAATGCGTTACCCGTACGACATGGTGTTATATCATTACAAACATGCATTTTGACTGTAAAATCATCGAAGAAAACAAACCTGAAACCAACATGCTGTTTTTTTTTTAAAAAAAAGTATATTATGTTTTGTGTTTTCATGTATGGAAGCAGCAATACGTTTGTACTTTATCAGTATTTCACAACTCTTTCTAAATGTTTGCTTCTGCAGATCAAAATTCAATTAAAAGGAAAATTATAAGGCTTCTATCGGAATTATCATACCGACTTCTGAAAACCGCATTAACTCTAGAAAATGTCTTAAAATAATTGAAAAAAAACTTTTTCCATTTAAGAACAAGTCTACTATTCAATCATTGATTTTGAATAAATTGTACGAGAAGCTACAATTACAATGCAAATTTGATGCATTTAATTGTGTTCGCATGTATGATTTCAACACTAGCAACATCATCGGAAGTATAACACAACGTTGTAAAAAATCCCAGTTAAGCGAGATTCTTTCAAACATGAAAGTAATAGAATTCCATATGTTACAATAGCGATGCACGGAAGTTTTAATGGTTGAATGCCTATTTGATGTTGACATCATTGTCAAGTAACCATCTGATAACACCCCTAGGACGTGAAAAGAAAGCTTCGACGCCAATACAATAAGCCACTATTGATCAGATTCCTACAAACGAAACCGCCAAAGGTTAAAGCACACCGTCATTGTTGGATGCAGTAATGTAAACTTGTAGATTGAAAAATCCAGAGTTTTAAAAAAACACCATTTCATTTTAGTTGTTAGCTATTGAACTTTAATCCTCTTATTCTGAGCACGCCTCTGAGATTTCGATGGGAAAATATGAAAGCATTGAGGGTGCAAGTCTGCATGTATTTCCATCAACGCGTGGAAACATGTCTATTTACACTCGGAGTATACCAAGCTTTCTCTTAGCCTCCAGTACTATCATTGCCCTTCTATTTTCTATGTGCTGTCGTTTCGCTAACATTGCTTGAGCTATTCTAACATTCTCCAAGCCCTTCTTTATGTATTCTGGTAAAGGGTGCTTTTTGTTGAATGATTCTTGCGAGCTACAAAAACGACGTATTCTGTTTTGTATACCGTTGTCATGCGCTTTACACAAATATCCATTGCCATCTGAAGCACATTTACTTACTCCGATTTCACCGTTATGTAAAAGCTCCTTCATTTGTGGAATTTCTGAACAGTACTCGGTCTCCAAAAGGTGTATGAACGTTTTTACTTGTCGATCTGAGAAGATATACCGACTGTGATCATCCCGATAGGAGACCCCATCCTCCGACTCTAATTCTCCAATGTGATCTTCATATATCTTAATTACTTTCTTCATGTACTCGCACGTGCTGCATGTTTTTTCCCTTCGACGACGTAATTCAGCCTCCTCGTCGTCTTTCATATCCTTTGGCCGCTGCTGGAGAAAGGAGACATAAGCCGGGGACGACTTGGGTCTCTGCTTTAACGGTTTGTCAGGTATTACATCCTTGACAAGGTTTGGCTTTGGTGCTGAATTGTCGAAAACTCTTGCAGATTTTGCTCTGAACGATTGTGTTGATTGCGTCCATTGTTTTTCGCGAATTCTTTGTTCTCTTTGTACTCTTGACTTGTAATTTTCTAACTTGCACTCTTCTGTTCTATTGAGCTTCTGAGCCTTAAACTCACTTTCGGTCTGACAGAGTTGTTTCTTGTATCCGATGCAGTTGTTGGCGGGATATCCGTCCAAAGATATACCGGTCTCTGTAGTCATAACAGATAACGGTTTAGGAGGGTAGTTACCTCCAATGGCACGTATTTCTTCTTTCTGTTGACCATCAGCGTCCTTCCTTCTATTTTCCGACCTTACACTTGCATATATGGTAGACGTAGTGCTGAGAACTCTAAAATTTTTTGAAGTCGCGTATGTACTTAAATTGGAAATACTCCCTACATCACTGGATCCAGACATATGATGATCATTGTTGACACCTGCTGTTCTTGGCCGAAGAATAATTTCTTTTCTCGATTTATATTGACTTCGAACAATTTTCGCTCGATTAACTTCCATGTTTTTAAAGTATAGTCTGACCTGGAATTAATCACATTGACAGTTGATATCCAATAAATAGCAACTTGTAATGTTAAGTCACACTTCTTTCCTAATGACTAAATGTCATGTATACTTCTTAATATAATGTCTAGTCACGTGAGGTTTGATAAATAAGTAAATAACACTGTCTTATCTAACACAACATGATTAACGTGGTGTCAACAACATATAACAATCTGTTTCATTATTTTCCAATAGAATGACGAATGCAATTGTGAAAATGATATTCTTGGACTTGTCAGCAACATACACTATGCCCTGTTCTGCCGACAGCGTGACACTGTCCTGTCACAATGATCCCGCTAACGTCTGGGTTATGTAGCCTATTCCATGTCCATCAGTCATAAAACTGATAAATGATGGAAATATTTGACTTACAGATTTAACACTGAACGACGTGTTGGACACTCCGTGTCGATTATTTAGACAAGTGGGATTATGTCGTGCAAACACCTACAGGGATTTGTTTGCTTGCGTGAGGCGACTGGGTCTTATAGCCCTCGGTATGACAGCAACAATAACAAACACAAAATTTAATAATGGGAAAATCGGGCAGCTTAAAGGTATCCCATGTCTTACACTATGTAGCTATAGCATTCACGCTCTTTATTGATAGATCAATTATAGCTGTGAGAATAACCTGGAATTTAACACCAATATAGAAACTGAGAAAATATAAGTGTTGTCCAAGTATTTATTCATCCAGACTAATCCCTCTTACTTAAATAAACAGATGTGATTTATCTGTTATTTGATAAAAGCGTTACTCTGTGTGTCCTTTAACAAGAACCAAATAAAACCATAAAGGTAAAACTAATGTGTTTCAAAAAGTCATTATAGTATCCAGACAATGATTTTTATTCATGCAAGTTTAAATAATTGAAATATAATTCTCCATCTCTTAAACAGTACAAAATCAAATGCAAGTTATATACACACTGATGTATTTTGGCGTTTGGTTGATGCCAGGCATGGATAGGGTGTACGGCTTTGTGACATGCAAATCTCGTTACAATGGCTTCTGTTATCGGCGTTAATTTAGTGCTAAATAATGAACGTCTCATATAGGTAATCTGGGCAACTGCGATTGTAATTAAAACGGACATGTTCAGTGTATGTCTATATAAAACAAGTGAAATGAAAGTAATAATAATAAGATAGAGAAAATGGGGAATGTCTGCTAAAGATCACTAGATAGAAACACTATTATTGTTGGAAGGTATTTGTTTTATTATTTAACCGAATTTATATATATATATATATTCTTGTAAGCTTCAAGCACTATATTTGTTTACTGTACTAACGTGCAAGAGTTGGTATATGTAAGCATGCTCGGAAACCATCATTTATGACGTCACACACTGATGGGATATTTACGGAAATTGTGACTGTGATACGGTGAATAAATATGAACATCTTGATTGTTTCCATGTTGGCCCCTTTAAGACGAATAACAGCCCATTCAGACAAGTTAAACTTCGATGCAACTAGCAATTAAAATATTGCTCAAAGATTGTACAGAAGACACACAAGTTAATAACATTTTCAACACAAATTTAGATAAGATACAGTGTAGATGAATAAACAAATTAGATTACACCATAAAGTTGTTTCGTCCTTCTAGGACTCATCAGTGATCGTTAAATACCTTAATTATTATCTGAGTAACACACATCCTTTGAAAACATCCTGTTTTCGTTTTGTACTAAAGACACCATGTCCTTTACTCTATAAGGAAACAGAATAATTACTCTTTTGACCATGAAAAACTGTTCATCGTGTTAGTCATACACGTGAAGGGACAGATATACTTTTGATATACTACAAATTTAGAGCCAAGAAAAAAATCCTTTTTATAATCATATGTATCTTCACATCTGGGAAAGTTTCTAAATTTAACAGAGATGTGACTTGTCTGTAAATGCGATATCAACATTCACTTTATGCACTAGATGGGCAAGTTGTCAAACCTGCACAGCATATGTAAACGCAGAGCAGAATCATCACTTAAACATTCTTTGTCAAATTGACCGTGTTGATTGTGCATAAATTATAAAAAAATCACATGCATTAAGTCTGAATATCCATAGTATCACATCGGTAAACGCAACACCTTTCAATGCTTACATCATGTTCTGTCCTCATACGTTTATTCATACAAGTGGGAACAGTCTCTTTCGCAATATACATGTACACCCATTGATCGGTTTTAAAGTGATAGTCCGTGGAATTTTTTCTGGTTACTATTAGCGCAAATACATATATTTGTTGCTGTCCGACTCTTAAGAAAAGGTATAAAATTAGTTCAGCTTTTACGATACTCAATATTACTGCCGAGTGTGGCAGTTCAACAACGGCAACAATAAGGTTAAAAATAAACGTGAAAATCTACCTAATCATTAAGACTATTACAAAGAACACTCACCAGTTTACATAATCCTACATCACCAATGCAGTTTCACTCCTCGGTTCGGTTGATAGTTTAAAAGGACCACGGATGAAACCGGCGACAAACTTCAAAAGTAGAGCTGACATATATGCTTAGGTCAAAACCCTTTTATGATTTGGAATTATATGTATAGATATGAATTAAGTTTTCTCAGAAATAGTTTTTATACCCGGTGCCTTCCTTATATTCTTTTTCGTTCTCATCCTTATTTATCCTGATTTCATTTGTGAAGATATAGTATATACTTCTATATATTTTATTTATCCATTTTCTTAGTTTTGTTGATGTATACTCGGTATTCATGTTGTCTTTTATAGCAGCTGAAGCCAACAACACATTCTAGTGTGATAGATGGAGCATGTCCTACACATCAGTCATAAATATAAATATAAACTTTATTTATTTTACAACAATTGCGAAACAAGTTATGTCATCTTATACTGATCACTCTTGTTGGATTTAAGCGCGTGAGGGGTCTTATTGTAGGAGGACACCGGAGTACCCGGGGAAAACCCACGTGGTCGGGAAGGTAACCCCTTACCCTTTCACGTCCGTTCCGGGAATCGAACCCAGAAAGGCGAGTACGTTATCACTGCGCCACCCGACCACATCACTCAAAATGTTTTGTTTTCGAAATATTTAACAGTTTGCTTTGAAAATGCAGGGGTCTCGTTGGCATAGTGGTTAAGACGTCCAACCGTTTTTATCATTAACTGTCCACATCTGGGACGCATATCCTTGACCTACGTGGTACAGTGGTACTAGCTGCATGTCGAAGGTTTTTCTCCTGCTTTCTCCCACCACCCAAACCTTGCACGTCCTTAAATGACCTTGACCGTTAATCGGACATAAAGCAACAATTAAATAGATTGTAAAAAAGGCTGTTAATCTGATTGTATAAATATTTTATGATGTATGACTAGACCGCGTTTATTTCCTGTTTTCTTATTCTCAGACATTTTTGTACCGGAAAGTGTAAGGAGACTTCGACCATGGACTAACAAAACACTCATAAATTGCTCCTTTAAGTTGAAATTTAAGCACTAGAATACTTAGTATAATTCAACACGTGTATTGCATTAACGTACGACATATTGTCAGTAGTTATAATTTGTCTTTAACTCGTCACGTGGTCCTAAGTCACGAGACGAACTCATGGAAACACAATGATACCATTTAAGAATGAACAATTAAATTGGGTCATCAACATAGATAAATAGATAAATACAAACAGAATAAATCAAACACTTTTCTAAGTAAAGTGTACTCAGAATATTTGTATCTAAATCAATAGAGATGACTATATCATAGAACTGAGTGATATGTAAAAAATATCTGTAACAATGAAGCTAGACATGTTTGTCTGAATGCATGTCTCCATCTTTTATGAAACCAGGTGATTTATGAAATTTTCAAGTTGTTAACCCTGTGCAGACAAAGTAAACTATCGCCTTTAAAACAGTCTTAATTACATACATCACAAGTCAATGTATACAAACATGGCTCTAATAATTTCAGGTTCATGTTAGTACAGAACCAACGAATTCACAAGTGAAGAAATCGAATTTAGAGTGGAAATCCACACTTTACCCTGGGGATAAATGTTTTCGTTTTTTTTGCTCACTTACATCCTGTTATGATCTCATCAAAGTTGTTCAACCTGTCTTTGCTAAGAGGTGTTTGATTCCAAATCCTTTAGAATTTTAAAAGGATAGTTCTAAACAAATCGTGGAGACTTTCATTACATCTATGAGACTGTTATAAAATAACATTAAAGAGTTCTTCTAGTCATACTTGACACGAACATAGAAAATAAAACTAAACACAAAACACGATAGACAGAAATTCGACTAAATAGGAAAGGAAACACTTCCACATAGAAAACAATTGATAAAAATCTGGAAGGAAACCATGGGTTTGGATATCATTGTTATACAGTAATACAAAACAGCGGTACATAACGAGCTTTTAAATACATTTTTAAAGTACAGTTTATGTGTTGTATGAAGTACTTTCTATTCAATCATAACAGCATTATTTTTTGTCTTTTCGTTTTAATGAGATACATCAGGTTTGCACCTGGAGAGATTGGCGTTACTTCAGCAGCTGACATATAAATATCAAATATACACTTTTTACAATTTCTCCTCAAATCACACTGACATCTCTCTTCGACATCCAACAGTAGTGGGTTTTTTTCCATTGTATTGCTGTTCCATATCGACTAATTCATAAAGACAAAAGAAAATTAAAAAAAAAAAAAAAAAATACAAGATGTAATAGGAGGCTTCAATACACATGACGTCATCACGTTTGCTGTTGTGTTTTAAAATCTAAGCCGAATATAAGAAAAGTCTCTTGGGGGGTATAAGGTAAACGCCCTTTCATTGTTTTATTGAAATTTGTTAGTTTTAGACATTTGATATAGTGAACCCACCACTGATAGTAAGACAATTAATTTCTACCATGCTCACTAACACTCCTTAATTTTTTGCAGATTATTGCAAAC